CTTTCACATCAGGAATGGGATACAGACTGTGTAGTCAGCTTTATTCACTGCTGTGACTAAAATGACCCAACCAGAACAACTGTAAAGGAGGAAAAATTTATTTGAGGGATTGTGGTTTCAGAGATTTTAGTCTATAGAAGGCCAGCTCCATTCCTCAGGCTCCAGGTGAAGCAGAACATCATGGAGGAAAAGTGTGGCAGAGGGAAGCTGGTTCACATGATGATCAGATACACACACACACACACACACACACACATACACACACACACACACACACACAAATATATATATATCCCCAAAGCCATGCCCTACGTGAACCACTTCCTCCAGCCACAGCCCACCTACCCACAGCCTAGCCACCACTCAGTTAATCCCATCAGGAATTAATTCACTGATTGAGTTAAAGATATAACCCAATCATTTGTCCTCCAGACCTCCTTGCATTGTCTCACATGTGAGGTTTGGGGGACACTACATCTAAACCATGACACAGATATATAAATAGATAGATAAGATAGATATGGCTTTGTACAAGTTCTGGGACTGCATTATATTTGGATCTGGATGCATGTCAAATAATTCCAAGGGACATAAGAGTCCTAAGTTACTGTGTAAAAGAGGCATCAAGTGAGAAGCTTCTTTTTACAGATTCAAGTCCTAATTGCTTGTCTCATCCCATTTTCCTCAGTTGCCCTGGACACTGGCTTTGTGTTTTTGTTTTCCTAAGTTTTTTATTACATAAATATGTACATAATTGTACATGTTTATATGGCACGATGTAATGTTTCAATATTGATATATATTGTATAATAATCAAGTCAGGATAATAAACATATTTATCGCCTTTTTAAACATTTATTATTGCTTTGTGGTGAAAACATTCAAAATCCTCTCTTCTAGTTATTTTGAAATATATAGTCAATATATTATTGGTAACTTTGGCCTCCCTATTGTGTGCCAATTAGGAGGACTAAGTTCTGACTTCTTTTTTTCTTTTTTTGATTCTCCTTTTTCATTGTTTTGTCCCCCTTCAGTTTTACATGTATTTGACTTGGTGGCTACATGCTGAATTCTCTGCAGTAGTGCTATTTCTGTATTCATAGGGCATCTGGACTACCTTGGTATCTTCAGTTCTAGACTGACTGAGACTTTCCTACTGTAATCCTTTGTGACTGGAGCATGAGAGAGAACTGAGAAGGTTTTACCAGAGGTGGGATTGCGATGAAGCTAATGAAATTTCAGCTTAGTGTTACATGTTCACATGAGACCTTATGAGATCTTGGGAATTGTACAATGTTCTAGGTGGAGAGTGGAAACCAGGTTGCATTTAGGAAGCATTCCTGTTATTCAAGAGATCTTAGAGAACTTGAATCTTTAAAGTTCTGGCACTTAATGGTGATTTTTTTCATATTCTAAATAAATACAGGTGTTCCCTACTTAAGAGACTTAAAGTAGTTCCACTTTATAGTGATGGGAAAGCAATACACAATCCATAGAAACTACTTCGGATTTTGGAATTTCATCTTTTTCCCTGACTAGTTGTCTATGGTCTCTTGTTATGTTGGGCAGCCACAGCAAGCCCCTGTTCTCAGTTAACCATGCATTATGAAGACAACCACTACCCTAGAGTGTTGCTAAGCTATTGTGGGTGGCAGGTTAGGTATGTGAAACACATTTTTCACTGATGACATTTTCAATTTTCTGGAGTTGTAATCTGATTATAGTCAAGGAGCATCTATATTGATATCTTTATTTAATTTTGCATTCACAATTTTGTGTTTCTATTTGACTAGAGAACCATACAAAATGTATATGCTTCAAGACACACAAAATCTGGTTCTACCACTGGGTTTTATTAATAAATGAGATTCTGGTATATTTCTTTACACTTAGTAAAACATAATTTCTACAAGTAAACAAACTCTTATGTAGAATCTGGAGAAGCCCCAAATCATTCTAAAAATCAATACTTTTGGTGGCTCTTTTATAAGAGAACTGAAACTTCTTGGTAGTTAATATATTTCAATATTAGTATTAGTGAATATCATAAAACTGAAACTCACATATCAACTTTAGTTAAGTCCAATTCCAATCAGCAAGCCTTTATGGATAGCCACTATGTGTGACAAAGGTGTTGAACTAGGTTCTTTTCTCAAATAGATTAAATTCATTTTAAGAGTAATTGGAAATGAATTGCCTTAACAATTTTTTAATAGGTCTCTGAAATAAGAACTTGAAGATAACATGATAAATATGGTTAAATGCTAAGGAAAAACAGTGATAAATTGTTGGCACCAGTCATCTGGTATTCTCTGAAACAAACCTGTTAATCTGCTTACTGAGAATAAAAAATTAAAAGTTTTTTATCCCTTTTTTTTTTTCAGTGCTGGGGATACAACCTAGGGTCTCACCCCAGCCCATCCTTTATCTTTTCTTGGAGATATTTTATAGATGGTGTTTATAGTTAACCTTGGGGTAATTGTTTTTCAAACCAAAGAACCCTATATTAAATATTAGCCAAATAATGTTCATCATATCATCATTCTCTTAAAATATGGCATTTTATCAGTATCAAGTGCATACATTTGTAAAATAGCATAGGATTACTAAACGACAAATCAATATGTAGTGTCAGATACTGGTAAATATTTGAAGAAAAGCAATGTCAGGGAAGGAGAGAGATCAGTGGTAATGGGGTGTTATTTTAGAAAGACTGACTTGGTTTTCTCATTATTCCTTGTATGTGCCTATCACTTGCTGGGGCTCCTGGCTGGAATACTTTTCTTTAGCTGTCTGCATCACTTGCTTTATCACTTCATTTGTGGCTCTGGCCACCCTTTCTACAGTAGCACCGGTCACCATTCTATCCTTTCTCTCTACTGTACAAGTTTTCTTAATCATCTGACCTTGGGAACCAATGAAAGTCAAAGAAATTTTTTGATAAATTCTTTGCTATCTGAACTCTTTATCACTTTATATATGAAATTCAAGAATTGAAGAGCTTTTTAGAACTTTTCTTATTTGATCTGGTTATCCAAAACAGGAGACAAATAACTGTATAGTGAGAGATGCTTGTAGTTTTCTTCATAACACATATTGCTCTGATTTGTCTGTATTCAGGTCTCCCTTAATAAAATATCAGTAGCTAGAATGTTGTTTTATTCATTGCTCTATCCCCATCACCTGGAACAATGGCTGGCACCTAATAGATTCTCAATAAATATGTGTTGAATAGGTGTATTAATATGTGAACGAATCTATTGATCTAATCTCATTCAAACTTTTTATCAAAAATGATTATGTGGAAAAGGCATGTTACACATTGAATTATACAAATCATAATATGGAATTACCTACACAGTTACCATTTAGATTAAAGGAAAAAAAAACAAATCTCAAACCTTTTTGTATGTGTTTATTTGATCATTCATTCCGTGGGGAGAAAAAACTTAGTAATTATCTCCTATGTGTCCATTCCTTTCTAAAGTATTCTAACTCAGTTTAGTTTTATAGGAAGATACAAAATCTTTCAAGTTCTGAAAAGTAGGTACCATGATACCATTTAATTATGAATACTTAATATATAGAAGGTACTTAACCATTTCTTTGACAAATAAATGAGTGACTAGGTGAAGATACAGTAGGAACACTGTATCTAATCTAGTGGGAGATTTCCCTAAGGAAGCGAATTTTAAACTAGGATCTGAAGAATGAGGAGGAACTACTCAAAAACACAAGACACAGTGTTTTAGAGCTTAAACTCAGATTTTATCCTAAAAGCTGGAAAATAGTGTTAAGCAAAAAAGCACAACTAGTCTTGCATCTTTTATGTGGTCTGTTTTCAGTGTTGCTAGGGACAGACTGGAAGGGCAATACTGGAGCAGAGAGAATGGCTGGGAGGCTTTAATAGTAATAGGTGGCAGTGACCTCCCTTGGCTCCTTGGCGGTAGAAGAAGAGAAATGTGGATACATTTGAACGATTTTAGCAGGCAGAATAACTGACTGGGGTAAAGAAGGAAAAGGAAGCATTAAGTATGATTCCAAGATTCTACTTGAGGCAACTGAGAGGATCCTAGGACCTTTCAGAAGACTGGAAACTCAGGGAAGAACTATCTGAAAAGAAAAGAGCACAAGATATCCTTAAGAACTAACTAGATTGAGTCTGAGCATTATAGACTTATATAATTGCTAAATTTCTTTTTAAAAAATGTTTGGAAAGAAAGAATCAATGTTAATAGTATTGGGATGGTAGTTATATTTAATTTTTTTCTTATTAAGTTTTGGTTTTCATTATTAGTATGTCATATTTTGTGAAGGAAAAATGATAAATTTATGCCACAGTCTGGCTGGGGACAATTCACAAGCCACTTGTCAAGCAGGAACAAACTTTATTTTTAGTGAGCCAGAACCTCAGGTTCCCCCTGCCCCCCCCCCTTGAGGCAGACTTCCAGGTCGTGTGGGCGGAGCCAAAAGAGTCCCCCAATGAGCAGCTCCATGGTCTGAAAGGACAGGGAAACAGCCCAATGAGCGTCACCACAGAGGAGCCAATCAGCTGGAAGTTTGCTGGGGCTGCAGCTGGGGGTGGCATCACTGAGCAGGCTCTGGCTCTCAACAAATTTAGAAAATTTATGTTTGCATAGGAAGTGCTATGCCAGCAAGCAACAACAATAAAACCCCAAGGGCAAAAAGCTAAGACCTTTTAGATAAAATGTTGAATTATACCCAGTGAAATTAAATGATTTGTCCTGATTAGGAGACAATTGTAAAATGGGGTTGCCATTACTATCTGGAAATTTAAGCGTATCATTCAAAGATCTACCAGAGGCAATGGCTGTCATGTATTCATCTTTGACCTTATCCCTTGGTGCCTGGCACCTAGTGAGGACTCAAGTGACAGCTGTTATTTTAGATTTGTTATTAGCACATTCATTTTGTTTATACTCACTATTTTTACTAGAATGTTTATACAATGATGTTATTTATGTCATTTTGATTTTTAGGTAGATTGGGGTCAACTGGACTATTTAGTTGTTGACATGCCACCAGGAACAGGAGATGTACAGTTATCGGTTTCACAGAATATTCCCATTTCAGGTAAATCTAAATCTTAAAAGGTTAAAGTAATTTATGCTTTCTTTGATGTGTTGATGTTGCCATAGAGAAAAAACAAACTGCAAGACAGGCAAACATTTTTATGCTTAAAAAAGAACTTATAAATTTTCCATTAGAGATCTAAAGCATAAATTGAGTTTTTCAGATTATCAGAATGAGCATATTTAAAAAAACATAAAGACATTTTGAAAGGTGGTGATATAATTCTATGTTCCAGAAATGTAGGCACTCAAGCATATTAAACTATGAAATATACAAACTTCACTAGTTAATAGCAGTCCAATAACTTACAGCACTGGTGTATGTGGCAGGCACTTAGTAAATATTTATTGAGCAAGTATGGAATGAGAGAAAATATTAGGAAATTTGTCTGTTTTGTAAATACAACTATAAGAAAATTTTATATTCTTTTACTTATTTAAAGTCAAAAGAGCAATTAACAAAGTAATTTATCAAATACAAATTATTTATATATTGTAGTGGATTTTTTTATTATGTGGAATTTAAGTATTAGTAGTTACCCTTTGTATCGAACCTGTTTCTAAAGATTTCCCCAAATTTCACAAAGATGTAGTTGCATATATAAGTGAACTCATGGAAAAATAGTTAAAATGTCTTCACGAGTTATTTACTGATTTTCGAAGTCATTTCATTGACATTTAATTACTAAAAGCATGTAATTTAAGTTTTTGACAAGATATACTTTTATTTTAAAATATTGATATAACCTCATTATTATGGATATTTTGAATGTTTTAATACATTGGTAACCTTAATGGAATCTGAGATGTTTTCTTTGGTGAGACAGGCTATTAAGTATGAGATGGGAGTAAACTGATGTGAAAATAATTCATCCTTTTTGTAATCACTGGATGGTGCAAAAGCTCTATCTAAATGTATCATTTTTTAGAAACTACTTGACTTTAAAAGAGCTTTTCATGGAGGGGTAGCGAAATGTCATCAGTTAGGAGTCTTGGTGTCATTGTATTTCTAGAAGCCATATGAGAATGAAATTTTTTATATTTGGAAAAAGACATTCTTTTAGAAAATTTATGCAGGCAGACCTGTATAAGCAAAAAGATCCTCTTTGTGAATGCTAATTAGCAGCTCTTTATGTGTGTTCCATTTTGTTCCATGGGTTGGATGACAGGCTCATTATAAGAAGAAATTTTGAAGAAAAATAATAATTCCTTACTTGTGTTAAAAGTATTGTATCACAACAATAAAGGTAAATGTGTTGACAGCAATATTAATGGCTAATAGATTTAAGTTTGAGTTTACATAGACTGTTGAATCATTACATATTACAAGTATAGACCAGAATGATACCTAGTGGTTGCAGTAATTGCTGAAGGGAAAGGAGTTAGGTTAAAGGATGAGAAATGACCAATTATAATTATAGTCTTAAGATTTGCTCTTATCTTATTGAAGTTGCCAAGAGGAGAAGGCAGAGTTTTTTTTTATGGCTGGCTTTATTATTTTTCTACTTTTTTTTTCTTTTTTGTTTAGTTATACAGTTTACTAATTTTTTGCTTATTTCTTTAATTTGTTTATTAGTTGTTGCCTATTTTATATTGGACAGATTCCAAGACTGACTTCTGGAAGTATGTCTTAAATGCATGCTTATATGCTCTTAGGAATCATTGATCACTCAGTTGCTTTTCCATAATGAAAATGATTAATATTCTTCAAGAAGTATTATAATTTCCTTGAAAATACATGGACTATTTTAGTATTCAAATTCTAATAGATATTACCTAAAATATTTTTTTCTTTATTCAACTGAAGTCCTCTGAATTACTGTCTAAAAACTGTCTTAGTTTCATTTTAACTATTGGAATTAAGTGAAGATTAATTTTACCAAGAATTGAAGTCTCAGTAATTTACTTATATTAAAGTACATATTAGTCAAGGTCCTAGCAGGAAAGAAAGAATTCATTTAATGAAGGGATTAGTTGCAGAGGTGTGGGCAACATTCAGAAAACCATCAAGAGATGGTGAAGTACCCAGGGACTAGTGACAGTAGGAAGTTGTTACTGCCCCCTGCCCCCCCCCCACATACACACCCCTGAAGAGGCAAATGAGTGAACTGTGTTAGTGGAAGCTGGAGATTTCTTGGAACCCTGGGAAAGGGCTGTCTGATGAAAGCTATGGCCATTCTCAGAACTATAGCAAGGTTGGAGAGAGTAGCATGCAAGGTAGGTAATAATACTTCACCTTTTTTCCCTCCCACATTCTCTTTTTTCTGCTACTGGTACTTGTTGGTGGCAGATCCCCATTTGGAGTCAAAAGACAAGGAAACTCGGTGATACAATCCACAGAGGTCAGCTACCAGGGCACTCACTGGTCAAGAGACAGAGGATGGAAAAATGAACCTGGGCAGAGACTGAAGAGGGAAAAGAAGGAAGAGTACATCCAGTGGAATAACTAACATAGCTTCTCATCTTCATGGTCATCATTTCATTATAAATTAGTGACTGTGACAGATGAAATACAAAGCCAGGGGACAAGATTCCTGCTCTATAGAAGTTTTCAAGCTAATATAGACAGTACTGCACAATAATACACTCAAATTGGTAGAAAATCGATATTATCATGAGACAATATTATACTGTCATTAAACATAAAGAGAATATATACACTGTAGGTGAGCAGTGATGCAAATATATTTTGTGTAGTGAGAAGTAATAGATGAAAAAGTTGTTTTTGATAGGACAGAATTAGGGGGGAAATGTTCTTTATAAGTAAAGATTGATACAGAAATGAAACATTTGGAAATTTTTCTTATAAGAGAAGGGACAGAGACTGAGCAGCTAACAGGGGAGCCATTATAATCCCTGGTTTGTTCTTTCTTTTTCTTCCAGGGAATGGCAAAAGTGATATAGAAAACATCCAAGTAGTTCTTAATGTTCTAATAATCCACAGTGCGGGTCCTATTTTGATTTCTTAACTCCTGGATAGGGAAAAGCTGCTGTGTATGGCAAAGTATTCAGCTAATTAATACCCTGAATATCTATGGGCTCCAGAAAAGCTGCCCTAACATCTGGTGTTATATTATGATAATGAGGTGATGTCCTTTCTTCCCTGTCTAAGACCTTTCCTGTCTGGGCCCTATTGATAGAAGGAAAGCCAGAGACCCTTTTTCTACTTTCTCATTTAAATGAGATGGGATAGGAATTTTAAATTAAGCTACTGTAATATTTCATCATTGCTTAAAATGAAAAGACTTTTCTGGCTTGTGAAAAGTGTTGGGCCTATTGCCTCTCTGATTGAACTACTCATCAAAAATTCTTGAGGAAAAAACCCACACATGTTCACCCTGGTATTTTCCTCTCCATCAGTAATTTACCTGGCTTAATCAATTGTCTGTTCTATGATGACACTCTTTGTGAATTTGGACAGTGGTTTTGTGATGTGAAAACCTACCCTCATGAGGGATTGAGAGATCAGAAACTTATTGGTGATGTGATAAATACGTGAATGGCCAAAGGCCTCTGCTTGAAATAGTTCCTTGATTGTAATTTACTCTTTCAAAGCAAAAGGAACAATACTGTTTGCATTGAATTTTTAGTGCTGTATTTTCCTTACAATTTTACAATTTATAATTAACCCATACTATAAAGCTAGAAACATGCTTGCATCTTAAAGTAGAAGACTTAAGGGGCTGAGGTTGTGGCTCAGCGGTAGAGTGCTCACCTCGCACATGGGAGGCACTGGGTTTGATCTTCAGCACCACATAAAAATACATAAGTAAAATAAAAGTATTGTGTACATCTATAACTTTAAAAAGTATTTTTAAATAGAAGACTTAAATTATAGATTTTCCTAGTGTTTTGGAATAGTAAATCTTCATTTATGTTTTCAGTTCCCAGATTGGAACATTAAAGGAGATAGTCAATTTTGGACTTCTTTCAGGTGCACTGTCTTTCCATTGCAAATGTTGGATGCAGTTATAATTAATGGATACTTGGCAAGAACTTCATGATGTAGACAGAGTTTTTGTTTTATTTATCAAATTATAAAAATTCTTTCCAAAATAAATTTGCTTTGTTGTTACACAAATTATACCAACTGTTAGAAAGACTAGCAACTGTATTCCACAATTTTATCTTTTAGGTCATTCCTGGTATTTCATTCTGAAACTTTAGTCCTTGTTAGATAAAACTTTATAAAATTAAATATAACATCATTGGCTAATAAATAATATATTTCTAATCTGCAGTTAAAATAAACTCTTTAGGGCCCCTGTATTTGGCTGAACATTCTTCACAAGTAGAAATTACAGTACAATTCAAAGAAGTAGCCTGAGAATTAATAATTTCTGAACTATGACACAAAAAGGCCCAGACTTTATAAGCATCCCCTCCCGATTTCTATATTTAACTTTGAGAATTTCTTGTCTAAGCCAACCATCTATTTGAATTCCTACCAGGTGGTCCTCTATCCTGTGTTTAGATAGTGTCTGAGATCATTCAGTTTTGCTGAATTTCTGAGCATTTCCTTCATGACAAGCTAGACAGCTAAAATTCCTTAAAGGTCTTAAAGTTCAGTGAATAATATAATGGCCAATGTGTCATTGGGTTCATTTTAAAAGCTACTTTTAAATCCATCAAATATTGGAAAAAGTAAAGTCCCAAAATCTAAAAAGGTTTTGCCCTTGGATGTAGATGTTAGAAATTTATCAGGATCTGAAGCATAGCTTGAAGAATGTCTTCACATCTTAAGTACAACGTATTTGGATATTGACTAAGATCTTCCCATATAGAGTCTCAGTCTCTTTTCCTCTCTTTTATGAAATGTACCTGGTTATATAAAATCTAGTGTAAATGAAGTAGCAGTTCTCTCTGGATCTTTTAGCAAAAAAAAAAAAAAAAAAAAAGATGGTTATAAAAAGGAATGTGTTGAGCCGGGCATGATGGTACATGCCTGTAATCCCAGCTACAAGGGAGGCTGTTGCAGGAGGATACAAGTCGAAGCCAGCC